TCTGGTTGGAGTCGCTACAGTCCTGATTCAACACATATTTAAAGCTACAACATTTGGTTGTGGAAAAGTGGCCCAATAATTGATCTCTGGAGGGAGCTGACGGGAGACCAGCACATCAAACCTGTGAGCAACACAACATTTGTACAGGTGCAGGATGCGTAACACTGGCTCCTGACATCATTACTGTGTGTAAATGAGAGAAAACCACAGAAAGCACGACGTGTCTGCTCTCATTTGCTCTGTCTGTCTCTTTCAAACGCTTCCATACTCGAAGTCAATCCAGTAAATCACATCAAAGAGGAGAAAATGTGCCCTCTGAGAATGTGAGATGCTTTCACTCAGGTAACTTTATATATCCTCCTCTCTGGTTTGCTTCCTCCTCTCCTCACTCATCCAGCTGCTGCTCTCATCGAGTTGCCCCCGAGCAGCAGATTAATCAGATAGAACCTCTTCCTCTCGTCCTCCTCTGATATACAGATCACCTCCTGAGGAGTCTGACTAAACGGTTCCTGTCTCCTCAGTTCGGATCATGTCTCCTCGTCCTTTCTGGGCGTTCAGGTTGAACGTGCTTTGCTTCAGGTGCAGATCCAGAACGAGCAGCACGCTGGCGAGTCTTAAGGCTTTAGACATAAACAGAAATTACATGGCACACATTCCCAACGCTGAATCATTTCTTTCAGCCGGTCGGCCTCTCTGACACGTCTGTCTGAGCTGCTGAGGTTTTTATGCTCAAAGCAGAAATGCAAACCCAAATCTGTGAGTCAGCAACATGACCCATGAGTGCAACTCCATCAGATATATATGCAAACATATTCATGTAATTATAGTTTCTTAGACGGCTGGATTCTGGTTCGTGTGCATTTCCAGGTGCACGCTGTGTTCTCTTGAATGGGTGGGGATTAAGAAAAGTGGCGAGCACACCACGTCCACAGTCCTGCCGGCACTTTAAACAGCTCTGCTAGTTCCAGTGAGCCAATCAGGCTTCAGCCCTGCAGTGTGCGACTGTAATCTTAACACAGTCCGCACAGCCCAGCCTGGAAACCACATGTAGTCACAGGAGTCCATTATCCACCTGTAAGCTTCCCCAATAAGTCACCTTTAAAAACTGCTGACAGGTGACGTTTCAAACGCTCATCGGTGAGTGGGACGTGTTAGTGTGTGTGTGCTATTACAGCTGTTATGATGGAAGCAGGAAAGATGGATGCATTAAATCTAATAGCAACTCTACAGAAGGGAGATTAGCATTAGCACTGGACCATGGAGCAGTGAACGCAGGTGGCGTGTTACAGCGCGCTCTCGTTACACCACACGGACAACAGAGACCGTTTACCTTGAAGTGGTGGCGGCACGATGCCCACGTTCTGCTGGGTTTCTGCAGATCTTACTGTGTCGTGCACTCCTGACCTCGGCAGTTTTGCAGACGGTGCACGCTTTTGTTAAACTGGTCAAACAGACGCCGATGAAACCCTCTTATGAAAATGCAACACTGAGAGAAACAGTTGACCGCCCTGGAAGAAGATCCCGTCCTCATCCAGTTAGCGCCGTTAAAGGATGCAGAACATCCTTCATAAAGTCCTGACAGGAGGAAGAGGAGGAGCTCTCTAATGGGTCCAGTGAAGGTAATGGCATCATTGGTGATGGATGGAGAAAATACTGGAGATGGAAGAAGAAGAAACTGTAAGGACTGGGATGTTATTATTAAGAGAAAAGAGGTGAAACATGAAGCAGCAGCACTCCCTCCTCATGCTGCGTCCCTGTGGGCGGCCTCCTGACGTGGACCCAGTCAGTCCCATACGTGCAGCTGGGGGAAAACGCGCTGATTAATTCAAAGGATCTCTTGTAAGTCGGTCGACCGCGGGTCGCCGCCAAAAAGCCCCGTCTCTGCGTGCTGCCCTGCAGGATACGCCAAGCTCGTTAATTAAACGACCACTTTAATTAAGAGGTCGGCGCTAATCTGGCCTTGTTTTGGTAAAACGTTGTGAAAGGACGGGGATTTCTGTAATGTGCACGCTTGATGGGAAAATACGAAAAAGCTGATTTGCAGGTTTTTCAATTATGAGGAAAAGTCACGAAAGCTCGGTTTGTGTAAAAACAGAAGCATTGATGTCACAAAATATCTGATTTCAGTTGATAAAATTAATCTTGATTTTGATTTTTATTCACCTTAAATTAACCAAGAATGGAACATCATGACGAAGAGACTCTTAATCTCAGTCTTTAGTTTTCTTCCCTCCTGTCGCCGCACTCTGAGCCTCCTCCACCTCCATGTCCTGTGCTATCCGTCCACCTGCACGCGCGCGCGCACACACACACACACACACACGCACACGCACACACACACAGTACCACCACACACACACACACGACAGCACCACACACACACACACACACAAACACACACACACTGCACTCACTCACTCTTTTTCACTCTCGTCCCTGTAAATGTGTGTCGAGCCACATTCCTGCACCTTCTCCTCAGGCCGTCTCCTCCCTCTCACGTCCCCGGGCCTCATTCTTCTCCTCCAGGTAAATATTGATCCACTAAATTACTTCTCAAGGTCGTCAGTGGCTCAGTGGCGAGTGGCACAGCGTCACGATAAGCCCACGCCTGTCGGCTGGCGTCGCAGGCTGACGGCTCCCGGGGTGAATGCCAAAGTCTTCGCCGTCGATACAAATGTCAAGTGTCAAAAGGAAAGGGTAGCGCCACAGGTGGTGGGAGGGCATCTATCGAGGGGCAGATCCTGGGTCTGTACTTAAGTCTGGCGTGTCTCGCGTGTTGTCTCACACCAGGAAACTGTCTCCGGACTGCACACGTCTATTAAACGAGCTCCGAGGCGTCGCTCGTGTTTTCATCGACATTTTATAGAGCTGTTAAACACGGCCACAAACACCCAGGTGTCCCGCTGGATTTCACTGCGCTTTATTGTTCGGTATCTGCCTCAGGCACCCATTAAAAATACAACAGAGGACACGCAGGGCATAAATACATAAGCACATAAAATATATAGCAATGAGGATGATCTGGGGGTGGGAATATTTGTGTTTTAGTGTCTAAACAAGGGCCTGAACTTGCTGATTATTTTAATTCTGACTGATCTGCACATTATCTCCTTGATTAATTGTCGGGTCATCGAAAACCATCAAGCGGCTTGATGTTAAAGCCTCTCGTGCAAAATCAGAACCATAATTAGGATAAATACGAAGTGAAAGGGAGGGATTGAAGCCAGGGCAGATTTAGAATCGCTCGCATTTGTGCAAGCAAAACATGCTCCAGTGAAATGATGGTATCTTCTGTTCACTCCCATGTTGGAGCTCAAGGACCCAATCAGAAGTGTGGTCACTGTGAAAGTCTGTGTCTGGAGTGTAGACGCCACAAAAATAGATATAACTGGCTCTGAAGAAGCGCTTTAAACTGCATTCTTTTCAGTGGCCAGCAGGGGGCAACAACTCGTGATGGATGAGTGTGGGACTTTTATTATTCTTCTGCTAACTGATAAAAGAACTCGTATTTACCCTGTATGTAAACTGTAATTTGTTATACTTAGTTTTATGCTGCATTTAATTATAAACACGGCACTTTAAATAAAATTCAGCGTGGATTTAGACGAGACGTTAACTGATACAGAACCAGTCCCAGGATCAGAGTCACGTCTTGAACTAGTTCTGCAACCGATTTACTTTACTGCCTCTGAACTTCAGCTGATGATTGGAATCGCCCCCAAAATGTGTTTTAATCTTCAGTTTATGTCAACATGATTCACTTTTCGTGTCTGATTTAGTTTCCAGACAACCTGGAAATGTGCAAACGAAGAACTTCCCAGATCAGGTTCGGCTCTCTGACCTGCACACACTGCTGTTACGTACGCTTCAACATTATAAGTCAGCCAGCTTCACTTGGTTTTGATCAGACTTTTCTGTGGACAGGTGGACCTCGTCCCTTTAGGCAGACATGTTTGAGATCTGCTGACTTTTAAGCAGCTCTGAACGTCCCGTGTTTGTTGGTTTGTTGCCGTGTAGATTTATTGAGAATGGTCGGAAAAGAGAAAATATCCAGCGGGGAGAAAATGCCTTGTTGGTGATGCCAAAGGTCAGAGGAGAATAGCCAGACTGTCAACAGTAACTTCTTACAAACGAGGGATGCATGAGGTTTTGAACAGAAGGGCTCCAGCAGCTGAAGACTGCACCGGGCGCCTCTCCTGTCAGCTAAGAGCTAAAATTCACACAGGCTCACTGAAACTGAACAACAGGATGGAAACATGATTTCTGCTGTGACGTTCAGACAGTAGAGTTAACATGTGGTGCTCAGTCCCTGCTTGTATGTATTGTTCAGACTGCTGATGGTGGCGCTGTCTTCACCACAACAGACCAATCAGTCTGTCGGTGTCCTCTCTCCTGAGCGGAGCACGTTGTTTCCTATTGTATGCACAAAGGCTGTGTGTGTGATACTGAGCTGCATGTTTCCTGTGTACAGGCTCTTTGGATACTTTGTGTTTGCAGTTATTTCTCAGCGTTGTGTTGGCAGCAGAATGTGTGTGTCATTCATTCCACGTTGGTCTTGTTCACACAGTGCAAAAGTAAAGGAATTGCACAGACACACACACATGCGGGCGAGAGGCTAATTATACGGTTCATCATGCTCAGTCTCGCTGCTCTCCCTCCTCTCCTTTAAGCCCGGCCATTATCCTCCTTGATATATCACCTTTTCACTTGCAAATGACTGACACCATTGAATCCGGGCACTCACACTCTGCAAGTGGCACTTTCTCCTCCAAGAATAGAGACCATAATAAGTCTCAGTGTGGTCAAGGACAATAGACGGCTTTTTATCTCCATAATGACCATCACTGCTGCAGAGGGCCAATTTCTGTGAACTTTTAACATGACTGTGTGGCTGCACTGCCAAGTCTGAGAGAAGTTACAGCTTTTATTGTGGAATTACACGATTTATGGTTTATAGTACAGAAGACAGCAGGACGGCTGGGAACTGAGTACTTTTCTGTAAATGTGCCAACACGTCTGTTCTCGTGTGTACATGTAACCCAGGTTATTTTCCAAAGTTTGAGATTTCTAATCATTTGGCAGTCATTGAACGCACCACAGTGCGGCTAGTCCAGCTCCAGGATTTCCGTGGATCTGAGGAGGCACGTGCTGTTCTCGTGCCCTCTGCGAGCTGGAAACTTGGATACATTTAACACGAGTCGCTGTCAATAAGTTTACGAAACATTTGCAGTTGAAGCTGATGTTTAATGTGTTGTTAGAGAGAGAGAGGTCATGTAGCACTACGAATGATCTCCTGGTGAGTTGGCTCGCAGCGCATGTTCATATTGAATGTTCTGCGTCTTGTTACGCTGCAGCGAGGTGTCAGCTCAGCTGCTGCAATGGTGTTTGTTACAAAAAGAAGCTAAATGTTATATAATGTGTGAATGAGGTTATTAGACTGGACAGCTGATTGTTAGCAAGCTAGCGGCTAAGCAAGCTAGCGGCTAAGCAAGCTAGCGGCTAAGCAAGCTAGCGGCTAAGCAAGCTAGCGGCTAAGCAAGCTAGCGGCTAAGCAAGCTAGCGGCTAAGCAAGCTAGCGGCTAAGCAAGCTAGCGGCTAAGCAAGCTAAGTAAAGTGCAGTGGCAGTTAAACTGCAAGTCTATACATCAAAATGGATAATGGTCACCAAACCAACCAAACTGTCAAAACCATATAATTCTTTTACATGAGAAGTGTTCTAAACTGTCAAATAAGAGAACAAGTACTGAATTGAGCTGTACGGCAGCTGCTATAAAAATGTGTTTTAATTTTTTAAACTTGGCCCTGCTCTGTTAATTTTGAGGAGCAATTCAATTCAATAAAACTTTATTGATCCTGAAGGTTACCCAGGAAATGGTTAAGGCTGCCGACCTTTGCCAGCGCCATCTTACCCTTCTGACCATACATACATTACACAAACATCACATGGGGAAGACAGGTCAGAGAGGTATAACAATGGAAAATGCACAACACTGAGGAAAGATAAGGAGAAAAAAAAAAAACTCCCCCCAGACTGAGCTCCAACAGGGAGATCAGTTTGAGAACAGAAAAAAACACCTCTGCACAAAGCACATGTATGAACATATGTGGGTTAAGTAAGAAAGTAGCCGCTTCTGTCTTCTGTCTAATTTAACTATTTTTTTAAATAAATTATTATTATTAACAAACAGGAAAAATGTAAGTAAACACATTTTCTTTTGGCAATTTACCGATCCAGTAAAAAAAATTAAGTTGCGTGGACAACAACGTGCCCAATAACAGCTTATGTCTTAACTTAATGTGATTAACTTGAGCACAGCCTTTTTGCTAAAATAAATGTACAGGTTTCATTTAACTTACCTCTACATGCTTGCGCAGGTTTGATGTGGAATTTTTAAAAGCTGCTAACTCGGTCTCTCTGGGCAAACACAGCTTACACTGCATAATAAAGCTGTTGCCTTTCTTGCACTTGAAGCCGAAATGGTCCCTTAAATACGGCCAGGGGTTCACATCGGTTTCTTCGAGTTCAGGGTCAGCAGAATTCGACGGGGTTTCTTTTTTCGCTGGATCCGTACCACCGATGTCAGACTCATCTTTATCGTGACCCAACGCCAATTTGTTCTACTACGGGGCGATCGTGGCTCAAGAGTTGGGAGTTCGCCTTGTAATCGGAAGGTTGCCGTTCGAGCCCCGGCTTGGACAGTCTCGGTCGTTGTGTCCTTGGGCAAGACACTTCACCCGTTGCCTACTGGTGGTGGTCAGAGGGCCCGGTGGCGCCAGTGTCCGGCAGCCTCGCCTCTGTCAGTGCGCCCCAGGGTGGCTGTGGCTACATGTAGCTTGCCATGGATATGTAAAGCGCTATACAAATACAGGCCATTTACTACCCATCATTCCCTGCAGTATTTCCAAAGCGCAATGTTGGTTTTTTTTGTTTGTTTGTTCTTTTAATTTACTCAGTAACGGGTGTGATTGAAAATGTAGCGAAGTACAATACTTTTTAAAAAATATACTTAAGTAAAAGTAAAATTACCGACTTGAAAAACACAAAACTACTCAATTACAGTAACGCAAGTAAATGTAATTCATTACTTTCCACCTTTGTGAATATGTTTTGGTTAATTCCTCTGCACACTCATGTGTGGGCTGGTTTTTCCTTTAGTATCCTGTTCCTGCTGGATGAACCATCCTCATCCGATGACTCCGCTGAACCATCCTGAGATGGTTGTTACTACAGGTGTAGATGCTGTTACTGGATACTACACAGTTCCAAGGAACAAATTGAAGGCCCCAACAACAAATTGAAGGCCCCAACAACAAATTGAAGGCCCCAACAACAAATTGAAGGCCCCAACAAAGTGCTGAGCTCACGTGTTCATTTGGCCAAAGGACGTCAAAAAGTTTTGGGGGCTGGGACACTAAAAGAAAAGGTTTATTGTCATATAATTGTGTTTTAATAAATGTTTGTGTAATGTTAAGTCAGTGTGGTGTCATTGTGTGCTGGCAGATCTTCCTGTTACCTATAGGTGGAGCTAGGTGCTACCAATCTTGTTTGAAGACACCAGCCTGCTGACAGGATTAGTTGTAACCGCTTTCTAGAGAAGCTCTGATAATTTTTTTTATTATTATTACTTTTCATTGTTGTTCTTTTGGGCCTAAAACATGGTGGTATAATTTATCATACAGATTTATCATACAGATCTAGATTTTGTGTCGTATAGTGTGTAGTGTATGTTTACTTCAAGGACGCAAAGCGACAAAACAAAGCAGCACTTGACGAACAACAACTTGGTGGGAAATGGCGAAACTGGCGTTTTTCCACTATATTTAGTATCATATATATCGTATTAAGGTCGATTGATGTAGAGCAGCTGGATAGCGTAGTGGTAACACTACATGTCTTTGGAGCCGGAGTCGCAGGTTTGATTCCCTGCTGTGCCGTCTGTATCCAGTAAGGGAAGCTGCTCTCAAGAATGGGTGGAAAAGCACAATGGTGAGAAACTGGCTTTTTTCCCACTATATTTAGTATCATATATATAGTATTAAGGTCGAGTGATGTAGAGCAGCTGGATAGCGTAGTGGTAACACTACATGGCTTTCGAGCGGGAGTCGCAGGTTTGATTCCCCGCTGGGCCGTCTGTATCCATTAAGGGAAGCTGCTCTATGTTGAGGTACAACACACATGCTACGGCAAGGGGGAGCCAGGACGCCAGGTCAGGGGGGAGGCATCATCACCCCTCCCCCTTCTAAGATAGATGTATGTAGTTGTTTAGGAGACAGTTAATCGTGGTAATGTTAATCAATCAGCATAATCATGATGACAGGGTTACACTGTACTTCACACATAGACAGCATGATTTCAAAGATGAGACTAGGGCCTTGTGTACTGTGAATGAAAGTAGTTCAACATCAAAGTAGTTGACTTGAGAAACAGGTTGTTCGTCAAATCAACTTGTTGACGCAAAGCAGTATAATCATAATGACAGGGTTTGACTGTGGCTCAGTGTGTTGGTACTTCAAAGATGAGACGTGTGTACTCTTTTATTAGTGTATCACTTTAACAACAACTTACTTGTTGGGGTTAAACAACTTTGCTGATGAAGAACAAGTTGTTGTTCTTAACCCCAACAAGTCGCTGTCAGAGTGATACACTAATACCAGAGTACACAACTAGTCTCTTTGAAATCATGCTGTCCATGTGTGAAGTACAGTGTAACCCTGTCATCATGATTATGCTGATTGATTAACATTACCACGATTAACTGTCTCCTAAACAACTACATACATCTATCTTAGAGGGGGGAGGGGTGATGATGCCTCCCCCCTGACCTGGCGTCCTGGCTCCCCCTTGCCGTAGCATGTGTGTTGTACCTGAACATATAGCAGCTTCCCTTACTGGATACAGACGGCCCAGCGGGGAATCAAACCTGCGACTCCCGCTCGAAAGCCATGTAGTCTTACCACTACGCTATCCAGCTGCTCTACATCACTCGACCTTAATACTATATATATGATACTAAATATAGTGGGGAAAAAAAAGCCAATTTGCCACCATTGTGCTTTTCCACCCATTCTTGAGAGCAGCTTCCCTTACTGGATACAGACGGCACAGCGGGGAATCAAACCTGCGACTCTGGCTCCAAAGACATGTAGTGTTACCACTACGCTATCCAGCTGCTCTACATCACTCGACCTTAATACGATATATATGATACTAAATATAGTGGGGAAAAAGCCAGTTTCCCTGTTTCCCACCATTGTGTTTTTAATTTAAATAAAATATTTCTCTATTTTCCTGAACAGAAGCTGCTGCCTTTCTTTCTGTTATGAGTTTGAGTAAACGAATCTCTGCTTCTGCTCACAGCTGGAACAGAGTGCCATTAAAACAGTGCTGTTATTTTTCACGTCGACTCCTTTCTTAGCTTCAACCAACATTATTAGCTAACTTACTCATGGACAAATCAATAAATAAATAATCACTCTTGTAAAAGCGAAAGGCTCAGCCTATCGCAGATCCTCGATATATTCATCCAATCACCCGACCTTAACGTGTATATGTGTTTGTGGTTATACGGCAAATAACTGTAATAAATCCGTGAAAAACAGAGATCTGCTTTCCATCTATGCACACAGAAATCCAAAATTCATATTAATCACTTACATTCAGAGTCGTGAAACAGATACAAATAGTGACGTGTAACTGCTAAACTACACATACCTGTGTTTTATACAGAATGTAACCAGCAGGCAGCCAGTTTAGTCGAGTCTCTTACTTCAGAGTCGTGCAGTTTGTCGTCATTATTTCCCCGACAGGCTCGTTCTTTCATCAAACAATAGTAAAATGTGTTTTAGCAATTTGTGCTACATGTGGCTAATTTTACCAACTGCTTTGACCACAGCTGAGAGCCCTGTGGAAACTGTTTTCAACTGTGACACGTGCACAGCTGTCTGAGTGGAGTCTGACTTTACATATGGAGCCAGAAGTGAGAAGAACAGGTGTGCTGTGAGCTGTCGGCCACACCTTGGTGCTGCTCCGACCGTCACAGGCTGTTAAACTGCTGAAGGCAGTCGGAAACCCAAAGTTCCCTGAACGCTGAATCAGTCTGATTACTAGAAACCGACGCGCAAAAGGTTTCCCTGTGGTCTTAAAGTGAAACAGGTGATGGTTGCTGACAGGTGAGGAGATCCACGTCGTGTCTCAGTAGACCTGTGGGGGTGGGACGTACTGCACAGCAGGTGAGCAGTCTGTTCCTCAAAGCCTGTAAAGAAAACAAACTCATGAGCTGACCCACAAAGCAGACCCCACGAGTCACTCCCATATCACACCAACCTTTGTGGCACACAGTTCTCATCGTAAGCTGGATCTACTGACATCAGCAGCCGTGGGAGGAGCTAAAGATTGGCAGATGCTTTCGGGTTCCCAGTGCGGTTTTCCAATATGTAAATTACTCCAACCTCAGCCAGCTTTACTGTGGTACAGCTCAAAGGACCCACAGCTTTTATTTCATAGCAGATATCAGAATCAGAATACTTTATTAATCCCGAAGGAAATCAGGGTTACAGCAGGCAGCACGCTAATGGCGCATGCTCACTTACAAAGGAACCTTCTTACCAACTTTACACAAACATCACATTGGGGAGACATGTCAGAGAGGTAGGCTGATAGGAAAAAAACAACGAAAATACATAACATGAGGTAAGAGGAGGAGAAAAAAACTCCACTCAGACTGAGCTCCTAGTCTGAGAACAGTTTGATAACAGAAAAACACCTCAGCACAAAAAGCACATGACTATCAACACACCACAGAAACACAAGACAAGCAACAGGGGCGGGTAAAGGGTGAGAGAGAGCCGGTGTAGACAGCCGATTCTGAGAACTCACGGCAGTGTGCCTCCCCGAGATGTCATCCAATTTGCGCCCAGAGATGTTATTCCGAGCGAGCCCTTCCGAGATGTATCCAGTCTGCAGTCAGAGATCTTATTCTGAGTGTTCACAGCAGCCGTAGCCTCTCCAAGATCTTATCCATGCTGCACTCAATGAGCCCATTTTGAGAAACTCACGCTTCTCCCATCGTTCCAATCCCAGCGGGCAGCCTTGAGGGGGTTTGAACATCTGGTTCCGCTTCCTTAATTCTTCGATAAGTCAGAACCCTGTTACAATGGTTCCGAATAGGTAGATATCTTCAGCACTCAGGCTCACCCAAGCCCAGACTTCTCGTTGAGAAAGGGGTGTTGATTGCATTCAGAGACCAGTTGATCCAACCCATAATTCCTCTTTTAGGTTTTAGAGAACAGACTGTGAGAGAATGTTCCAGGGAAAAGTAATACAAAACACGAGACAAGACAAGGACATAAGAAGCTAAGCAGGGAAGATAAGGGAGAGGAGAGGAGAAAAAGTGCGACTGCCTTCGCAATTTTTATATATACAAGCTTATTTCAGATATACGAGCTTATTTCAGCTGTGCAGCTGAGCATTTTTACACAGGAGTCTGCGGGAGTGGAGGCAGCCTCTAGTGGCCATTAAAGGAACTGCAGTTCATTAACAACTTTCCTTGGGTGGTGTTTGTTCTTTGCTTATATGTGAACAGCTGATGCACACCTGCCAGGATGCTAACACGTAGCTGAAGCATCTGCTCCTGTCAGTCCGTGTGTTTTTTAAATGATGACAGCACTGATGGAGGCTTTCATGGGTAACTACACCCAAATCAGTCCGCACACACAGAAGCCATGAATCGGTGTTCCTTTGACACAAATCTTTATATTTGTGGTTAATTGTGTCCATTTGATGAACACGCACGTCTGTTCTGTCTGTTTTTAGCTGAATCTCATCGACCGCTGTAGAGGAGGCTGCACGTGCTGTCGCCGAGCTCTGCTCTCCTCTAAGAGGCAGAGATGAGGCCGTGAGGCGCTCAGCCCACTCGCTCAGACTAACCACGGTGCTTCGCCCTGTTACTACGCAACTACCTGCTGGAGTCTTTATATGAGAGCTCGGTCAGCAGGAGTGGTGGGAGGGGGCGTGCTGATGGATGTACAGTATGTATATCTGCAGAAGGAGCGTCAGTAATAAATAGATATAGAGATTAATGAAGGGAGGCACTGCACAGAGGCACAGGTCGAGTCTGTCGATGTGTTTTCAGGAGTAAGACGAGGATGGATGCAGCTGCAGCCTCTCGTTTAAGAGAGGACAAGCTGCATTCATGCTCGCGATGGGAATAAAACAAAGGCAGAGTAAAGAGCAGGCTGACTCCCACAGTTTGGGGCTCTTCACGTGGAACAGACGACGCTGAAAGAAGCGAGACAAAGCTGCAGAATGAGACTGAGACGACTCCCTCGCCGTCTTTGCGTGTGGTCAAAAGCTACGTGGTGATCACGAGTGAATACTCTGAAAATTGCCAAGGCGATGGAGAAGAGAAGAAAAACAGACGTGTGTCTGTTATTGTGGCCGCTGCATGATAGGAACATGAGCAGAAACACACAGACCGAGCTCTGAAATGTGTGTGAGTGTTAGAAGCAACAGCCTCTTTTTCTCTAATGTAGATCCTGCTCGAGCTTTTACATCTGCAGACTTGTGAGGCTCAGAGTGACGGATGTGACGGCTGCGGCCGTTTTTCTCCCACAGTGGCTTCTCTGAAAATCTTTTTCATCATATACAAGATCTTAATGAGCTCTCAGACTGATGGTTTACTTCTGGTTCCTGGTTATTTACAAGTAAGACTTTTACAGATTAGGCTTAAAACGTTTTTATGAAACATACAGTCAGGTGACCCTGACTCCTCCCTTAGTTATGCAGCAATAGGTGTAGGCTGCTGGGCGATTCCCATGATGCACCGGGTGTTTCTTCTTCACTCACTTCCTCCCCTAACCCCAACCGGTCGCAGCAGATGGCCCCGCCCCTCCCTGAGCCTGGTCCTGCAGGAGGTTGCTTCCTGCTAAAAAGGAGTTTTTCCTTCCCACTGTCACCAAGTGCTTGCCTGTAGGGGGTTGCCTAATTTGGGGTTTCTCTGCATTATTGTAGGGCCTCTACCTTACAATATAAAGCACCTGGAGGTGACTGCTGTTGTGATTTGGTGCTATATGAATGAAACTGAATTTGGCCAACAGGTGGACGGCTGCAGCGTCTAGCCTCAGCCGACTGGAGTCCCTGAACTGGACCTGTGGACCACGTTTGTGCTGGTGTGACCAATAATATGGCTCCTATGAGGTTATTATAAAGCTCTTCTCTAAATATGGTCACGTCTTCTGTCTTCTTTGCCAGGGCTAATGGTGTGCTGCTTCGGTGTTGTAGAAAGGATTGTTCTGATAGTGATGTGCTTGTGCAGCTGATGATGTGTTTTCCCCATTATTATTGCTTCAAAAAGACATAAGACAAGAATAACATGATAGCGGTAATCCCTCTGCAACCATACAGTCAATACTCTGTAATTACTCATCAGCCTGAAACATTAAGTGCCACGGTGCAGCTACAAGCCCTGTCATCTAAACGAGCAGCTAAACTTGTCCAAAACAAAACCATTTAACTCAAACTCACAGCTACAGATTGTTTCATGGAGCGCTAATGAGAGCAGGGAGACACGTTAAGAGCTGAAACACATTAGAGGCAGATTTGTTTCAGTTCTCCAGCCTACGGTGGAAGATGAGGGCTGACGGAGGATTATGAGTCACGCTTGTGCATGGGGGTGAGAGGTGAGGATGAGGATGCTGACGATGAGGCGTGGAGGGCGTGATTTAAGCAGACGGCTGTGATGGAAGCTGCCTGATCACCTCAAGGAGACGCCCACTCCTTCTCCACGGACACACAGAATGCACTCGGTGTTTCTCCTTCACTCGCTTCCTCCCCTAACCCCAACCGGTCGCAGCAGATGGCCCCGCCCCTCCCTGAGCCTGGTCTGTTTGAAATGTCGGAGCCATGAAAACCAGGAACCGCAGCCGTTTAGTGAACCGCACTAATCTTAAATCCACGTGGAGCACTGAAAGTATTAACCCCACTGTCATTTATTCAGTGATTTGTTGTCATTTAACAGGATCCACGATGTGAGAACGTCAGATTGCCGACCTGTGAAAGCTTTTTATTGTTTCCCACCATCAGACCAAAGCTCACAGGTCGACGACTCATAAACACATTCATGCCTTAGCTTGGCACGGCTGTATATAGATATAAACAAGCCCAAATTAATGTCTGCTATCTTCAGAATAACAAAGGATCGCACTTTGTTTCCTGGGTGGAAAGCATCCTTCTTCATAAAGCAGTTGTGTGCAAATTAAATTGGCCGTCAGCTATAATCTCTTATTCTTCTCTACATAACAAAACTGCAGCTCATCTTTGAGGCCTTTTATCAGGGCTTAGAGACAAATACTGCAGACGCAGCCGCAGGCGTCTCGGTTTGTCAGAATCACAGTATTCAGCAAAATCTGGCTGCTTTTTGTTCCCCTGGCGGTGTTGTGCAGCTCCAGCAGGGGTGTAGCAGTATGAGGCGCCGTTACATGGGCGTTCAGTGAACGTCTCCTTTGAGGATTTGTTGGGCTGGAGGAGGTTTGCTCGGATTGGAAGCTGTAATCCGTCTGAAGAATGGGATTTAGGAGACCATCCAGGTGCTACGAGGCTTAGACCGAGCCGCAGCGATGCAGATCAGGGTTCTGGCATCGACACCGGCCGAGTGTCGGTTTGTCTGTGTGATGGTGTGAGGGCGGAGAGGCCGTGATGCTGAAACGAGGCAGAATCACCAAAGAACCGGGTGTTTCGAAGGTCAAGTGACTCTTAAGATACAAAAGGACAAATCCTCCAACGAGAGTGACCAGCTTCCCTGTCGCCTCTGATTCAGTGACTGAGCGTGCACCAACCCCGAGGCGGTCTCCACTGCAGCTGATCACGAGCGAACGAGGAGCAGCCTCCGGGGCTGGAAAATGAAAGCGAACACCACAGCTCCTCTAATGCCCGGTCGAGCCTCCTAACTGCAGCTCTGCTTTTTGTTACGCACTCATTTGCAGTTTTAAAGTTTGGATTATTAGGGGCGTGGCTTCTTTGACTGACAGGTGGATGGGAACACGGGCAGTTGTAGCTGCAAGCTGTCTGACAGGCTTCACCTCAGCTAAATGGAGTCCCTGAGAAAGACCGTGTTTTACATTTCTGATAAATAATATGGCATCCTGTATGAATAACTACACCAACAGTCCATCACCCGTGAGCCATACACACCTATGTGGATGAAGCTTGCTAGCAGAGCTCGCTGGTTAGCACCACCCTGTCCAATCACGGTGCCTCCTGCAGCCACAATGCCAACACTGATGCACGGAGTTCAGAAACCATCTGTGTTTGTGTACCGTCTGTGGGAGAGTCAAAGACAAACGTTCACCATCACACACAAACGCACTAACATCGTGATGTCGTTAAGTTTCCACAGCTTTGTGATTTTTAACTTAAAATGTGAAACAAGTTAAGAAGAGCTTCAATGAACGATCAGATCCTTTGAGATGAAAATATTTGAGTTCTTTTTGATTGATGTTTTTATTTATCCAAGAATATGTTGCACTACAGAAGCTGCTTCTCACTGAGCCTTTAAAACTGACTGCAGACATAAATACCATCTGCTGGGATGTGAAGGAGATGAACCGACTTCTTGTTACAGGCAAAAGACAGATATGTAATCTAATTTACGGTTATTTTAAGGCATTTCATCAAAAAATGACCAGCAGAGTTACTTTTATTGTCCTTATATGATCGTAACATTAACACGATACACCCATACATACACTCAGAGGACTCCAGTGTAATACAATAGTGCTCGACATATGACGGTGTCATGAGAGCGCGTGATCATGTGACGTGACAGTGATCTTACTGAGAACAAAGTGTCGTTGAAGAAAAACCGTAAGTAACTGCCTGCAGCCAAACCATCTCCACTGCAGGGGCGTCATATACCGCCATCGTGTCCGTTGTTGCGTCTCGGAGATAAGGTGGTGTTTGGCGTGCAGCAGCAGCAAAGACTGTACACGGAGGATGGAGATCGAGGGTGGATTCTGCTTGTTCTTTGTTTCAGTTTGTTTTCATCCACTCTTCGAAACGATCACGAATTGTTGTTAAATTACTCGACTCACTGCTGTGAACCTGCATGTTAACACGATCGAAGGCGTTCACGTCTATCATTCAGTCGACATTCGGCCCCTCCCCCACAGCCGTGAGCTCTGGGCAGTGACCACAAGTATGAGTTTGCTGACAAACTGCTGAACTGGTCTGTGGTTGAAGAGCAGATCTACTGGTCCTCTGAGGTGAACAGAGGAAGCTGAGGTAGTTTGGGCATTTGACTAGGATGCTTTCTACGCCCAACTCAGAGGAAACCCTGGTTAGACCAACAACTACCTCTAAAAGCATTTTCCTCAACGGGCCTGGAGCGCCTGGAGATGTCCCAGGAAAAACTGGCCGATGTTACCGGGGAAAGTCATGGATCAGTGGAAGAAAAAGGATGGATAGTGGAAAATGAAGCTTATGTGACACTGAGCTGAATTTTAAAGAACACCTCACTAGAAGATGATCCGTCGTGACTTTAAAGAACTTTTAACCAAACAAACAGCTTTTCTCCATCAATGCAAACAATTCCAGTCTGGAGTTGTGTTTGAGCCTAGGACAGGGAAGAACAGGACAGAGTCGGTCATTCCCACCCACGGCCGAATAAGAATCACCAGAAGATGCAAACTCCACACAGATTCAAAGCTTGTTGCTGTGAGGTTGTGATTCGAACCATCACATTGAGCTGCCGCTCTGCTGCACATACAGCAGCAGAGAAGGGGGGGAGGAGGAGACTGACGGCTGAAGAAAAAGATGTTCAACACAGACCGAAAACCACGCTCTGCTTTTAAACACATTTAAAAATCTGATTGTTCCTCACTGAGGAGCTGCTGCAAGTTTCAAATAAAACCTTTTGCAGCCTGCTTTCGTTCTGTGGGGTGTCACCAGCTGGCACAGCGGCTAAACCCCTCAAAGAACCAGTATGGGGTTAAATGGAAGCTATCTTTAGAACATTTTCACCACTTCACCTGCACTCAGGCAGTGCTGAGAATGAGGTGAAGCCATTAACCAGACTTCACTGACAAAAACAGTCATTTTAGAGTCCGGGAGGTGTTTGTTTCCTGCTGCCACAGTTCCTGTTTTAATTTGCAGGTTTTGATCCAGTGGGGCCACTTAGCAGCAACAAATTGATGAGAACAGGGATTTATGCCATTTCCATAACCAGTAATAAAATGTAAAGCACAAAGGTATAAACTGTCTCATTTATTTTTGTTGCGGTCAGGTGCATTCATAACGAGCAGGTATCCACGATGCAGTAAAAGTAAAAGCAAAATAATAATAAAAAGCTCAAATGTTTCCTCTTCTGCAGGGAAAAACCTTATTTCTCCCTTTTAAAAAAGGGATAAAATATTTGTTTAGCTAGCTACACTTTCCAGTTTGCAATTTAAATGTCACACATGACTGAAGCAGATGAGCCATAAAAAACTGTCCTCAGACTAAAAACTATCCTGATATATATGCAGACCTGCAGTGGTCCTAGTATGGAACCCAGGGGGACTCCTGCTAGCTAAAAGCTTATTGGTTCAAACCAGTGCTCCTCCCTTGTGTCAAATACTGTCCGTCTATCCAACCATGGATTATCTGCTGTTTATCTGGGTCTGCGTCACGGGGGCGGCAGTCTGAGCAGAAGTGAACATCTGTGGCTTCAGGATTGCCTGTGGGGGCACCAATAATCTCTCCAGCATCCCCTGGGTCTCCCCAGGGACTCCTTCTGGTATGACATGCCCAAAACAACTCATGTATGAGCCGTTCAGGAGGTAACATGTTCAGATGAACCACCTCAAGGGGTTCCTTTGAGTGTGAAGGAGTGTTGATGTCCCCTGATTTCCCTGGAAATGACAGAAGTCTTCAACCTTTCCCTGAGGCTGAGGCTGGTCCCAGGGGTCCTCTGGAGGAAGCTCATCTGCTCTGCTTATACACAGTCTGATTCTGTTGGTCACTACGCACAGCTTATGGCCACAGAACAGCTTTACTAGAACTCCTTCTATTGGGGCAACAACATAGAGTGCCACCAGGATGGACCCATGCCAACACTTTGTTCTTCAAGAGGGGAAATAGAAGACTTGCACTTTGCACACTCTGATTAACCTTATATGTTTTAAAGTATTAGAACCCCGAAAAGTTGATTATGTTCATCTGGACGTTTTCAGTGGGAGAAACGTTTCGTCACTCATCCAGGTGACTCCTTCAGTCTCAGCTGACTGCAGGTTAAACAGCCTCCTTGACTCAAACCAGCGTTCTAATAAAGTGTTAGAAGATCAATCATTCACACAAGCATATAAAAACATATAAAGTTCGATTTAAGCTTTGATTTGACTCAGTCACGCATTCTTCTCATGCACAGAGTATGTTATCTTGGTGACCTGCTAAATAAGTCTCAGCGACACCTCTCACTGCTGAATAGTGAACGCTGAAAGACGAGTGACTTTGCATACCGATGGCCTCCTTTAGTTGATGATGAAAATGCAGCACAGACAGGAAGTGTCCACGCTGCTCTCCTGGCCGTGGGTGTGGGAATGTCTTTTCCTTGCAGGCAGAGCCCAGCTGCACAGAAGAATCATGGAGGATTGTGGAAATACCTCCAAACTTTGCTAACTGCTGTTAAACCGCCTCGTGGGCTTTTCAGATTCTCTGGGATTTCTTTTTCGTTTTAGAAAAACAGATATCGAGAATACAGAGCAGAAATTCCAGCTGGTTTATTTCCCCTCCCGAGCTACTCGTCTTCAGTAAGTGCGCTGTGGCCGAGCGATGGCAGGAGTTTGCAGCACTTTCAGTGAATCTGCATATTTATGACAGTGAAGCAGCCTCCATTTCATGCCCGTGTGGCTTCAGAGTCCCTCCCCTGTATTTCATGTGCACAGCTCAGCCATGATAACATAACCTCACGGCTTCACGCCATCCCTCGCTTGATTTACACACACGGACCCATCTCCCTGTGTGACAGCGGCTCAGCCTGTAACCATATAATGGCCCATAACTGCCCGGCACAACTGGACTCTCACAATCATATTGGCTTTTATTTCTTCCAGCTGCTGGAGGTAAAGTGAGTAATGAGCTGTTTTATCCAGAAGGCACAACTCAGCAGCAGGGGAGGAGGAGGAGGGATGTGCCATACAAACGCACTAAGTGCTCTGAAACTTAAGTAGTACAAGGAAAGCAGATTATCCTGTATTTTTAAGCAGGGTTTTGCCACAGGGTAGCAAAAGGTTTGGGTGTAACCGACACTGAAAAAGTGAAAAGATCCTTTCGGTGAGGAGGAGAGAAGAAATCAAGCCAAGAATTTATATATGATTGTACAAACCTGCAAACAGAAAGGCCCCAGCCGGCCAGCGGAGTCAGACCTGGAGCTTCTTGGTGTGTGGGTGGGGTTTGTGTCGTCTGGTGATTCGAAATTGGCTGTAGGTGAATGTGGGTAAGAAAGGTTGTTGGTCGTGTGAGAGACCGTACCACGTCTCTCACTCTAGGACAGCTGGGACAAACTTCATCCCCGAACCGGATAACGAGGATGGACGGGTGGACAGGCGAACCTCTGTCTCAAAAAGTATCGAATGTGTCAATAAAAAAAGTGAGAACTATGTGTTAGATCAAAATTAGTAAAAAGGCAACATATGAAAGGACAAAATTGTGAAACCAAACAACAGCAGGAGATTGAGCGGCTGTAACCACAGGGTTTTGGTCTGTACTGTCAACTGGATGGAGCATGTCTGCAGAGAATGCCACTCAAGAATGCAGGTATGTGTGTTTTAATGACACGATTAAGGTGATACTTAGATACACAGTTGCTGTTAGCTGTTTACTGTTAGCTGTTAGCTGTTTGCTGTTAGCTGTTTACTGTTAGCTGTTAGCTGTTTACTGTTAGCTGTTAGCAGTTTGCTGTTAGCTGTTTACTGTTAGCTGTTAGCAGTTTGCTGTTAGCTGTTTACTGTTAGCTGTTAGCAGTTTGCTGTTTACTGTTAGCTGTTAGCAGTTTGCTGTTTACTGTTAGCTGTTAGCAGTTTGCTGTTTACTGTTAGCGGTTAGCAGTTTGCTGTTAGCTGTTAGCTGTTAGCATGTCACTTCTGTGAATTTTCTGTTTCCCAAAAATACTTTTGCTGTCATCTGAGATGTTTTCTTTTCTTTTTGTGAGCTTTTACTGTATTTTTTCTATTTCTGTTGTGCTTTCGCTGTATTTTTCTATTTACTGGTGTTTTCTTAAGTCACAGTGTGTTTGACCTTTCAGGGCCACCGTACCTGCATATCTATTCCAATGTCTTGCCTGTAGTCGTGACTGTATGGGAAAATGTATAAGAAACACAGCAGCTTGTCTGCTCAGGTTTCAAACAGTTGCAGAGCTTTGGTAAATGAAGCGAAGTGTTTCTCAGTTCCTCCACCTGCTCTTTGGAAAGTTGTGTCAGTATTTGGGGGAAACAAATCCATGTTAATATTACGTTTGCTGCTCAGCCTTATTGTGCATTTGCTCTGCCAGGAAAGCTAAATTTTCCTTGTTGAATTCTTATAGGCTTAAAATTTGATTTGCAGAATTTGACAGATACGCTGCATCCATCCATCCACCTATCATTCAGTTAGCAAAAAAGCTAACAGCCAGCTAAGCCATCTTTCACCTCTGGCGTCACTTCGTGTACCCGTCACTTTGTCACATGTCCGACTGCTCAGCGAAACACGACACCAGCGAGGCACCTCGCCCGTGAAAAATCAGATATTCCATCTGCCGGCTCGTCAGAGCAGGTGGCACATGTAACCATTTAGTCAAGTCGACTGTCTACCCCGACAGTCGCCGTGGTGACAGCTAAACGTGCTGCAGAGCCAACGTTAAAAGCCAGGGGACAGCTGACATCCCGCACATCCCGGTGTGTCGGTTTAAATATTCCTCGCGGTGCATCCGACTAAATCTTCCCCTTAATTGACAGAGCAGAGGATGTTTTCTGCCAGGCGCACTGACGGCTGGATGCAGCAGAGAGAGGGAGGGGGAGGCTCGAGGATCCACAGAAATGTCTCCTCTGCTCACTGGCTCACTGTTACTTATGAACCAGTGATGTTATTTTACCTTACAGAATATGCCAGGGCTGTAAAACACGAGCAATGTCACCTTACATTCATTCAGACGCAGCGGCAATGTGTGCTGCCGAAGAACAGTACTGTTCCCTGCTGCAGTTTCTCTCACAGCAACTAGTTTTAACTTTCTAGTTTTACAGTTTAACATGGAAGTGAGAAAACACAGGGCAGCTTTCTGAGAATAACTTGGATGGACTTTGAATAAGGAATATGGATCATGGAGTAAATAAACCACTGTGGGCAGATCCGAAACAGACCCAGACTGGATCTGAACTGGATCCAGGCTTGATCACGTCTGAGCGTCATTCAGCAGCACACACTGCTGGGAGGAGTCTGAGAGAAACATGGTTTGTTACCACGGTAACTAACTCAGAGTTGTAGCTACACTGGCATTGTTTACTTTTTACTTAGTATTTTACTCCTCGTTGTTTTCTCAGGTTTAAGTCACAAAACTGGTTGTTTTGGTTTAAAGACACACTTTGTACACAATGCCTGAAACAAGCTGCTTAAGCTCCTCCCACTTTAAGGTAATTTTCTTCTGATTGGGTGCCCCTCACAAACAGTTTGAACAGCAGTGTGTGTTTCTGAAATGCAGCCAGCTTAGATGAAAGTATCTGAGAATAAACATGATCTCAAAACCCTGAAGGATGATTCCTGAAGACATCCGATCAAACTGGTAAGAAAAGACTTCTAATGTGGCGAGAGAGGAAGTTGGAACAACCACAGTTTAAAGGATCTCAAATCACTCTGCATGTATTTATGGGAGGGAGGGAGGGGGGGCTCAGAGAAAATCAAAACAACAGAAAAAGTAAAGTTGTTTCAAAGCTGTGAGCAGTGTGGATGAGGCTGATCTCCAGGTTGTTGAAAACAGACTCAGAGCAAGTGCTACATTTTCAGGTTGCTTGGAGTGAAAAGCATTAAATGGCTCCAGGGACCGACTAACACAGCTTCTGCGTCCACTGAAAATGGTGTTGATTGGAAGGATTAGCCTTAGACGAAATAATCTCCCCTTAAAAACAGCTTACAGGCACACAGTGTGAGACAAATTAAAGTCCGCCCATCTGCTTTCTCTTGGTGAACAACTTGTCCAGCTTCACGTCCCTCCTGGCGTCGTTCCCTTTGCCCAAATAAAATGTCCTGTCTGTTTAACTCCAAATTTAAACCCCCAAAGATTTCAGACTTCTTGGTGACATTTTTCCTTTTGTCTGGCAGTGGAGCGTGACGTCTCTGATCAGACGCAGGTGAGTTTGTAAATTAGTGTTTCGGAGATCATGTCTTTGGATATGACACCAAAATGTTCAGTTCGGTGTGATATTTAAAGAGAAAAGCTGAAAAATCTGGCAACAGATCACACATGAAATGATGTGTTTGGCGTCACAAGCAGAGTCATTGATCACATTTGAACTGGAGATGAGGAGAACGTTTGCGGACCAATATCTCATTAAACGCTGGCAGATCCAGAGACCTTGTAGCTTCGACTGCAGTCATTTTAGCTTTTAAACACCAAAACATTTCTATTATGAGTTTGTAAATGTTTGACGTGCACGGAGACTTTAAGGGGAATTTTTAATGTGTTAGTGGCGTTTACCTCTCAGAGAAGATGGTTGGTTCCCTGTATCGGAGAGACGTCCTGCTGTTATCAAAGCACGGACTCTGGAGAGGATTCTCACGCTGCAGCTGGGCAGCCGTTACCTGAAACCAGGAGAAAGTGTTTCTGAAGAAACATTAAAAAATAATCTTTAATGTTTTTCTCCTCGGGCAACAAGGCACAAAATCGCAAATGATGTGTACACTTCTGATACTCACAAATACCCCCACGTCATGACTGGTTTTTAACCGATACCACCTGTTGGCCTCTTCTACCTCCCAGTCAGTGCTGCACAAAGCTTTAAAACCCAAACCTGCGAGGTCAGAATGTATCAGTTACTTTATGAACAATTTGGTTCATTTTCAATTCATTTTCATTTTTAGCACCAAATCATAAAAACAGTCTTTACCTTGTGAGGTACAGACCCTAAAATATAACAGAGAAAACCCCCAAAATTTTGTTGCCTCTTGTGAGGAGCACTTTGGTGACAGTGGGAAGGAAAAACTCCCTTTTAACAGGAAGAAACCTCCGGCAGAACCAGGCTCAGGGAGGGGCGGGGCCATCTGCTGTGATTGGCTGGGGTGAGAGAAGGAAGACAGGATAAAGACATGCTGTGGAAGAGAGACAGAGGTTAATAACAGATATGATTCAATGCAGAGAGGTCTGTTAACACATAGTGAGTGAAGAAGAAACACCCAGTGCATCATGGGAATCCCCCAGCAGCATAACTAAGGGAAACTATATGTTTTAGCAAAAAGGAAAGTTTGATCTTGTAGCTGTATTTTAGTCCAATTTTATTCGATGAGTAATTGTCTGGGTATCAGGTAATGCTGCTTTATCTCAGTTGGACACAAGGTGCCTTTGACAGCAGCACGAATCCCAGCATGTTATAGCAGCAGTGACAGGACGAAAACCTGTAATCTCTGTGGCCTCTAATATACTAATGTCAAAATGCATGCAGCATGTGACACCAACATGTGACAACAATGTAGATTTTCTGGCATCAGGACCCGAGGAAAGTGGTTGTTTGTTAAATCTGTGTGCGCCTGGTGTTTTCAGCCTCTTGATTTGCCTCAAACGTAAAAAGCTAGTTTCGAACAAACCTGCTGATTTTGTTGGAAGTCTTTGTTGATGGCTTTATTGAAAGTTGTCTCCCGGTGCTCTTCGACCTCCTCCACCACAGCCACAGGCACAGGACAGATTTGTTTCCAGCACCAATCACCAAACTCAATTTCATGAAAATCAGTGGAGAACTGAGAAAAAGCTCCAACCTTGAGCCGAGTGTTCGCACAGACTACTGAGAGGCCTGGTTTATTTTACTTTCCTTCTGTTTCTTTAGACATTATACAAAATATAATCTCAGAATTTGTCACAGCTAAACATGATGCATTTATTTTGATTCAGTTAACAGTTACAAACCCAATCATTTTCAGTTCAGTCTGCAGTCGAGGACAAAGAGACGCATTCAGAGCTGATGTTGGAAAAGCTGGTGTTCAGTTTTACTTCATCTTAGCAGCTGGGACACACCGAGGCACTCACAGAACACAAAATGCATGGCTGACATTGAATTATGACATAAACATGTCAGACCTTTTGGTTCCACTTGTCAAACATGATGATTTGCTACATGACGGGAAACAGCTGATTTGGACTTTAAGGTCCTGGTTGCACATTTGAAGATGTCACCTTGGATACTGACGGCCACTTTTATGCAATTTGGGGGAATTTAAATTAACAAGGAAAAGTGTTACCTGCTGATTGCTTTGAAAGAAAATGAGATGGTTCAGAGTTTAAGTTTGCTGGTGTAAGTGTCAGAGTAAAGTATATAAAAGATACCATTAGTTTCAGGACTGTGTTGGCTGCTTACACACATTACACATAACACTTTCTTAAAAGTAATGCAGTTCAGTACTTAATTACTCCAAGGAGAATGTATTTGCATTTCTCTGTAAAATGACCTGAAACAGTCTCGTCGTTACCAGTTAACAGTATAAACCTACAGGCTACATCACACACACAACACAAACCTCTATCATAATGAGGACACACACAAAGATGAAAACACAGCACAAAGACACTCTGAAGCCGTAGCCATGGTGATTCTGCTTTAGAAACATGAACAGGTAGAAACGGCGGCTCCAGCCTGACTGCTCATCGGTTTGTTACCTGTTGAAGTTCAGGGTCTGGCTGCAGCATAATGCAGCTGTTTCTGTCCATCGTGCTCTCGACCTTTTCATGTGACAGATATAACAGTAACGTCCATATCCACTGTAGACGGCGCCGCTTTTCCCTCCTCCAGCACACAAACTCAAATCACACGATTGTGGTGCAAGTGGAACCGATAAGTGGGATAGATACACAAGTAGATACCAACCGGTCTGCTAACACTCTCCAACCACCGAGCAGCAGTGAAAAAGTCAAAGCACACCAGAAACTGAGATCATTTGTCTTCAAAGTAAAAGTCATGCATTACTGCTTTTACTTTGAAGGCAAACAGTCTCTGCTTCCTGTCGCACTCTTCACATTTTCACAGTTGGTTGGTAAGTAGTTGTCACATGTTTGCAGACCATTTGCAGAGTACTGAGGACGGCAGCAATCTGTGAGCCACCAAAGCAGTGCAGCACATTTAACAACAGCAAACAACCTCCTGAAAACACTCGCCAAATGGTCACACATTTTTACCCAGCAACTGGTGGTTACCACGGAGTCCCTGACCGATCTATAGGCCTGTGTGACTGCGGCCTAACACTAACAAGGTATGGGTACAACAAGCAGACACAGATACCCGTTAATCAGTGGCAGTGATCAGGGCCATGCCAATAAATCACTGGAACTGCACTCGGCAAACAGACATTATAATATACGAGTCTACGAGGACTGATTCTTTTGGATATTAGAGGAAGTGCTGCTTTTGGCACAGTTTACCCTCGGAGGTTGCTGCTTCTTGACAATATCACGGTAACAGTTTGCATTAAGTAGAAGAGACGTGTTGTCAGTGACGCATATCAGAAACAGATTTGTAAACCATATTTCTTTATTAAAGTTTAAGAAACTCCAAGCAGCATATTCATAAATAAAATAAGGGTCTCCCTTAGATGTACTGTGACAGTCTGTATGCTCTGACAGTTCATGTTTTCATCCTGTCGGGGTGTTGGAGTTCGAACATAAACAGGACACACGTAGGCCCTTATCGCCCCGCCCTCCCGGTCACTTCCTCATTGCTGACCAATCGTAACCTCGCTCTGTCCGTCCGTCACGTGGTGGAGCACAGTGCAAAAAGCAAGTTGGTTCACGACAGAGAAGCAACTACTGACACAGTAAGAAAACATCCATATAGAGTGTGTTCAGATGGGAGCTGCGTCAGAGTCGAGGACCGTCACGTTTCTGCGTGTCCGTTTACGCACAGGATGAAACACATGGCAGGTTTTACTTGGTGTCACCGGAGAATTGGTTTTCACACAGACACAGAACATTAGCGTTTCAGCAGAGCTCATGGTGAAACTGAATAATGAACATTTCTGCTTGGCAACAACGTAAATCTTCACAGTCACACGTTAAACTTTTTCTTCCCAGTTCAATGACTCAGATTTAATACAGCTATGAAAAACAAACCTTGGTCCTATGATCTGAGTGATTCGGCACAGTGCTTTTACAGTTACATTTCTCAAGTGATCAAGAATTAGGAGCATGAATGAACAGCAACATAACCAAGTATCCACACTCTAAGGTGTTACGTGAGAGCGGTACTGCGTGTATGCGTAGTCAGGGACAAACTGTAAATGTTACCTTTAACCTGTCATTGATAAGAGCCATAACATGCTTTTGCATGGTGCGAAACAAAGAAGTACATCGGCTTGTCATTGGTGTTGGAAGAATTTATTCCTAAATCTCTGTGTTTTGTGGTTGAGTCTTTAACAGACCACTGGATTCAATCAGCCACAACATTAAAGCCACCTGTTCAACAGCTTTGGCTTTTGGGCAGTGGACCCATGCTGGGGTTTCCGGTGGTATCGAGGACGTAGATCAGATTTGTTCTGGACCGTTTTTGAAAATTATAATCTGGGTCAACACCTCGGTGTGAACACTGAAAAATACTGGACAAATAGGCTTTGTTGGGGATGTTTCCAAGAGTTTACGAGGTCACATTTTTTCCTCGGGTTGTAATTGTTGGATGTGTTGTGCTTTAGTAGCAAACCTATTTGAATTAATAAAGAATGTTTTTATTATTCTGGTGTCAAATTGTTTGCTTGAAAAGCAAAAAGCTCTGAAGGATTTTTTTCATTTGCAGAAACTTCAGAGTTGAGCTTAATATGATGGAGACTGCTGCCGTTGGGGGGCACCCTTAAGGAGACATCAGGGAGTGTGCTTGCTCTGCACACAGTGATAAAAGCATCATCTACTTCACTCCAGGCTTCGAGGGTCGGTGTCCTGCAGGGTTTAGATGTGTCCTTGATCCAACACAGATGATTTAAATGGCTAAATGACCTCCTCAACATGTCTTGAAGTTCTCCAGAGGCCTGATAATGAACTAATCATCTGAGTCAGGTGTGTTGACCCAGGATGAAATCTAAAACCTGCAGGACACCGGCCCTCGAGGCCTGGAGTTCCCCACCCCTGGTCATCTTTTCTAAGGGACTGCCCAAAAACAACTCACTGTTAGAAGGCTTCAGCTCCAGTATTTCTGCTGTCTGTCTGTAAGAATAGAGTGGACATACATGATACGGACACTTAAAAATCTTTCAGTCTGGGTTTCCCCAGTGTGGAAGAAGTGCTGTGCGACAGAACCGGACAGTAAAACCTCCACAGAACGCTCGTGTCTGTAGTTTAATGAACGAGTTAATCTGCCGCCTGTCCAACAACCACAAACCTATCAACAACACAAGATTCGATGTCCGATCTACAGTTTTGGAACTAAAGCTCTTCATTCTGACAAGTTAAGGTTCCTCAGTTTCCTCTGCCCACGTACACGTTCTATAAATGGAAAGATGAGCGGGTCTGCGTTTTGCTGCTAATGTCCTGAAAACTGTGTGTGATCAACATGGATCCGAACAGCCAGCGTCAGGCTAATGTAAATGAAGTCGACAGTCATTAGGCCCATAGATGCACGTTAACCGCGCTTGTAAAAGCAAAAAGGTGGGGGTGATATGGTCGGTTTATATATTTCTGTTGTTAAATACTTTTACCATAAATGTTCCTCTCACAGTATCCTATAGAGAAAAAACTATCCAGTGTTTAGCAAATATATTTAACTTCCCTCTGCTTTACAAGCAGTTGAGGTATGGCACCTGCAGAACGGCCATCATCATGAGCCTCTGTCTGCACTTTGGGTAATGACGCCCTCTGTCATCCCTGCAGGTGATAATGGATCTCATTAGGAATGACTTGTGGAAATACGATGCCTCTCTGAGTCACTCTCTCACTCCTCGTTAGAATAACTGCACTGCTTTGCAAGAAGAAACTTGCGCACGAGAGCGTGACGTAAAATTCTCGAGTATAAAAATTAAAGACATATATATTTAGTACCTTTATATTTTTTCTTAAGGTTAAGGCTGCGTTCACACCGACCGCTGTTGGAACACGGCCGAGCTTCGATATTTGGCCCCAAACGAAGCATTACGACTGCCTGAAAACAAAAGTGTCGGCCCTCCTTTAGGAACTCTGTGGGAGCGGTTAGTAAGAGTAAGGATGGAAAGGCGAATACGTTTGATCTGTCACAACTTTTCTTGTGTTTCAGGTCTGTAATTTCAGACTTTCAGACTTCGACTGTTGTCGAAGTTTGTTTGAATAAATTAGTAACCATCAATCGTTCTGGCACCAATTTGAATCTGACACTTCCTTCAAATTCAAACAGAAGCTCAAAAATATCAAATAAAATAAATACCAGGCTGGCTGATACTCTGGACCGTTTCTGGTTTTTTGTATATATTTGGCTAACAAGAGGGTCTGTCTCAGAGTTGGGAAGCATGCCAGTACTTGTTTTAAATTGGTGCCAACTTTTCATTAGTCTAAAAGCATCTGGACAGAGTTTCATAGAAAAAGACTGTAACTGATTTTCACTGGTTTGCTGGCGGTGCGATGAAGAAGACGAACTCTAAAACTATTCATCATTCAGAAGGTGCAAGCATCTCTCTGAAACCCAGAACAAGTGTTTTTGTGTTCCTGATTTCCTCATCTCGAAGTCGGGTTGGTTTCTGTTTGATGTCTAAAGGTCTGTGGTTCATCCAACCCTAAACATGTTCATTTCTTTCCACAGCTTAAAATACAGAAGCAATTCTCGTAATTGTGAAGCTTTAACGTGACCCAGAAAAGGTTTTTGTAGTAAGTGGTTAAACGGGACTACAGAAACTGTTGGGAGATTTCATCACGTCGAACGCGCGACTGCATTTACAGTTCAAAAATATGATATTTGACTTTAAGATTAAGACCTGCACCGCGTGGGTAGGGAGCCGCGGTTCTACACCCTGTCGTATTCCACAAAGAGGCCAGGCTTGCATGACTGCATCGTCGTTTGACCTAAAGACAGCGGTCGGTGCGCTCGCAGCCGTACGTACTCTTCTTCGCTCATTTGCTCGTCACAAACAGACTCTCACCTGGACAGTACTGACGCCAAATAAAAACTCGCTATAAAAACAAACCATTGAGCTGTGTGTAAAATATGAACCCAATAAAAACCCGCTTGTTTCCCCTCAGTGTTTGAATGAACATCATTTACAGTCAACGTAAGAAAAGAATGTAGACTTTTGCTTGGAAAAAACTATGTATATTATATATTTAATACAAATGGGGAAAAAACAAAGAGTGATTTTTTTTTTGTCCGATGCTGAAGATATATATAGGGTTGGTACAGAGGTGCATAACAGTAGGTGTCCACCACTAAAAATGTCCCTACAGCGGTGCATCATGGGTAGTCGTTTACATCAATGAGTTGTGGAGAGACATCGTTTAATTTCGGCACTTAGAAAACAATCACAATGAATTTCGCGTCATTGTTTAATTGAACAAAATTTACAAAGCCATTCAAACAGTCATAACTTTTTCATCAATGTTTATATTTTTTTTATCTCATTTTGTTTGTTTTTATAACTCAACTTCAAAAATTGAGAATATTCAAAATACACTTTAACCTCACTTCGTTCTCTTGGTATTTACAGATATGTACACGAGAAAAATTACACCCTCCAGCCCGCCGCCCGCTTTTTGTTGTTTTTTGTTAGATTTTTCGTGTGTGTGTTTCTGAACAGATAGTGAGATACAAAATCTTTTTACTTTGTACATATATGTTTTTTTCCTCTATAATAATTTTCCTCTAGGGTTCCCCAACCCGCCTCGCATCCGAACCTGGACCCAGGTCCAGAGTGCAGCCCCCCTCCCACCCACCGCCCCCTTTTACCCCTCCGATCTTATATCGATGTACTGTGGGTGGCCTCAATGGCTTCGGGTATGGGTCCTGCGGAGACTGCCTGGTAGGACATTGGCATGGGTGTCTTGCCAGGGCTCTGCCGGAAGAGCCCCCCGTTGGGTGCCCTGTGTTTGCACTGCATGGTGCCGCTGAGGCTGGTGCTGCTGAGCGGGTGGTGCGGGGGCAACGTGCTGCTGCCAGGGCCCTGGGATGGGGGTAGCGTCCTGCCTAGGGTCCCCCCATGGTGAGGATGGGGAAGAGGAGGCGGTGGTCCCCCCTCCCCGGGGAGGAAGGTGGTCACAGCGAGGCCCGAGGGCGGGTAGTCCCGCCTGGACTCCGGGCCCGGGACCAGAGAGGCCTGGCTGGGCTGCATGCTGCCGATGTCCAGCGCAGAGATCTCGATAGAGGGGCCGGGGATCTGCTTGTGGGCCAAGTCCTCGTCCAAAAGACTGTTCATACGACGATGCACCTGTTCCAGATTCACCTCCTTGTCCTATAAGTTCAGGAGTGGGGCGGTGGGGTGGGGATGGAGGAGGACAGTGGAGAGACAGGGGGAGGGAGAGAGGGAGGGAGGGACACAGAGGCTGAGATTGGCGATGGGCCGATTTCTCAGACTGATTCAGGTCAGCGTGTGCTCCATGCATTCTCAATCTGATATGGGTTTTTTTTAACTGACGAGCTTCTATCAGCGATCCAGCTGATAGACCGGCCCGGTTTCATTTTGTAGTCTGGTTTGAAGAGCCCAGTGGGAACTGAGGCCACAGAAACCAATCTGAATGTGCAACTTGAAATCAAACTTGGCCAGTGAGCAGTAAAGGCTTGATGTATGGAGGAAACCGACCCTGGAGCCAAGCTGACTGTCGTGTGCTGCAGAGCTGTTGGAGGCTTGACTATGTCGAGATTGTCATAAATCACATCTGAGATCAATTTTAGATTCATTAACTGAAGCTATGTTTGTGCTTTCTCTGCCCTCGCCGCCCTCGGAGCTGCTACGCTCGTCACAGGAGGATCAGAGAATTGGTTTCCTAGCAGAATAATTTAATCGCCACACTGGCTGACGATGCATCTCCTGCTGACTGCAGACATGCATACTTGTTAGGTATTAATAGACACCCGAGTGTTTCCCTGTTGAACCGCGGGTCTGCTTTAGTACACTGGTCAGGGGAAGGTAAAGGACGAGGGGCGTGCGGGAGGCAGGAGGCAGGAGGCGTGATTCGCATAGTGAAAGCGAGGCTTTGAATCTGAGGCCAGATTCTCGACACGTCCGCGTGCGACTGCTGCAGCGCGGCCGGATGATGATGTTTTAGGAGAGGGTCTTAAAGCGGCCAATCGCTTTACAGCAAACCAGCTAACATTCCTGAACGCAGCCTGGCTCCAGCATCGGGCTCGCTTCAGTCCAGAAACACAGTGAGATTAGTCCCAGGAACTCACAGTGACACCGGCGACACTCAACACAATGCACACAACACATTACAGATTAATACCACATACATATTCAGTCATGGTGCAGTGTTAGCAGCACATAATACAGAAGGCATGCAACTACCCCACCCCCGCAGGTTTGATCATTTCGAGTTTGTTTTACTGTCACACTGTTGGGATTACTACTGGCATGGACTGAAAATCGCTGTTCATGATTTTATTCCACTGATAAACAGATCATGTGACTGTTCAAAACGTTCTGGGCAGCTTTGTTAAATTATGAGAGATTTTATGAGCTCAGACAAAAGACATTTGAGAAGCTTTACAGCTACGACACGTTCGGAGCACAATCAGACCGTATTCTGGATCCAGGGACTGGATGCATGACACAAAGGGAATTTTCAGTCAGGCGAAAGGATGCAGTCTCAGACTGCTAATGTTAAAAATGTTAAACTAGCAAACCAGCAGCTGGCTTTAACTGCAAACAGTGAGTGCTGTGTGAGGGCCGGTTCTCTGCAGAGCACTCGCGTTCACGCGGTGTTTGGTGGTGGTGTCGATCTGACTGAGAAGCTGAAGGACGCCGCCTGCTCGTACGTTGGTGACCTGCCGATTACACGCACTCCTAATCACACCCTGCTTAGTCTTTTCTTCTTGCTCGTAGATTAAATGAACCGAAGCTTCATTTTCTCAGATGCTCCTGTTGGCCAATCGACACTCTGTGTCACCAAATCTACCCAGGACCTGACCTCAGTGCTCTTATAGTTAGAAGACTTAAAATGAAATAAACAAGGGAGAAGTTTGTCTCGGAGTCATTTAAAGTAAAGTGTGAGCCGTGCAGATGAACATTTCTTCATGTAGAGTGCTGCACAGAGCCCTTCTGGTGGAAACACACTAGCGAAGCCTCCGACTCTCAGAGCGCCTCGATGCGCTGCGGTGGAGCGGCGCCGAGGCTAATCGTGTACCTTTGTTCCAACCTTTAAGCAACACACGAACATGCAGTGTGTTTGCTTTGAATGATCCCACTCCAGCCTCTGAGAGCTCCTCTCAAAGCCAATTAAAACATCTCAGCTCAGGTTATTGTTTCAGCCGACCAGCGCCTCATTAAAATATGTTTTCAAACTGGCAGCTAGCCTAAATAAATAAATGCCAGGGATTAAACCTCAGCCGGTCGTTAAAGGCAGGCTGGTGATGTAAGTGCAGAGGAAGAACAGCCGTCTGAAAGTCTCCATTAATTTGGAAAACAAACAGCTCTTTTAATGAGTGCTCCCACTGGGGGGCCTTTTAAATCACTCTGCTTCCTGCTACTTTGCAAATACTGTGACTGTCGAGTGGGTTGTGCTCAAGTACGATAAGAACAGTTACAGATTGTTTCTGGTTCATTTTAGATTCAAGTGGCCCTGCGAAGATGAGCGAAGGCTATTCTGCACGGCGATCGCCTCTAACACTGACATCTTCCATCTGATAAGGTCTTATTAACCAAAGGTCACCATCGACTGTGTCTCTACATCCAACCCAGCTGAGGAGAACTTTGCTAGATGTTGAGATTTGGTGGAAAGATGAAAGGTCAAAGTTGTCTTTTCTGGTTGTATAAGGAAGTCATTTCAACTCAAAATTTAGTTGAACAGTGAAAGCACATCTCTTCCTCCTGAACACCTCTGCACCTCTGACCAGCAGCTTCTTACGAGGATATGTTTTCACTGTCCAGAGGCTTATTATGAATAAGATCAGCAAAGGAGAATCATTTCCATTTAGACGCCGCGTACACTGTTATATAGTAGGTAATACTTGACTGTGTAAGATGGTCAGAACTGCCAATCAAGCGCAATAAAAAAGATAAAAGACAAGAACGTGCGTTTGCATTTCTGTTTTTAAATTAGCAGCAACGCGTGAAACTGTATCCTAGTGTTTTCATTGTTGCCATCTCAGCGTTCTTCAAGAGCACTCGACTGTCCAGCTGCATGCTCGTTGGCCAGTTTTGGGCCTGGTGAGGGTTGTACCCTGGGTAATCTTCTTTCTTAAACGTAGAATGACCAAAATCTACAAAACTTTTTTTATCCTTTGTGACTTGAAAGTAGCCACTGAGGTCCAGGCAGAGGGCCGTGATCTTCACTCTGATAGGACCAGATGTCTTCTTGCAGGACTTTGTGCAAGAGTCTTTCTTTTCGTCTTAAGAATTGTTTTTCCAATATCGTTCCAAAATCCTGGAAAAGTGTTGTCACCTTTCAGTTTTCAACCAAATCTCGATTGTATAGTGACGCGTTTTAAAAGCCACAGCTGACTGACGGATCTGTGCGCTTGCTGGAGCCCAAACAAGCCTTTGGATTTTTGATTATTCGTGAGGGGCTCTTTTTGTGCCATGGTCCTGCTTAGAGGGAACCGCCACTGTTGCTCGATGCAAAGTTTTCAGAGTGATTTGATTTATTGGTGACGAGTTATTTCTATTCCAGAATTAATGGGGTGCTGCAATTTGTAGATCACGAGGGCTGAGGGTGACAATTATGTTAATAATGCTGTCACTTCATCTCAGTCCAGCTAAATGTCTGTGGAAGATTTTGGAGTAAACGCTGGACCAGCGTCTCTCGCACCATCAACAAACACTAGATGAGTTCATCTCTCCAGCAGACTTCTAGAAACTTCTAGAAGAGTCAATGAGCACAAAGTAGCCCGACATCTTCCCAACACGTGTTTCCCATCAGTTCTACGACAGTTCTGTGTAGGTACCAAAAACAGTCCATGTTTCAGCAGGTTTGAGGAATTTTATGTGGCAAAGAGACGAAGACCAAAATAATCCTTCGTGTAGGACTTGAGACCCGGAGGTTTCCTGCCAGCTTTCCAGGTGTGGTTTAAAGGTATCGTTGGTTTGCTCTTTACCACCAACTGCAGTTAGTCCTCCTGCTGACCAGCCAGCATCACCAAGCGCGTTTAAATGGAGGAGAATCCTGTTTTACTGCAATACTGATTTTCAAAAACAGTCAGTTTTTTAATGAAAGAGTTAAATTTGCTCGGTCATCACTTAAATAACAAACACAGAAATGCTGAACAAAAGCCACAGACGTCTGGAAACATGACACACGGCATGCAGTCCTCAGGAAGCAGGTAATAATATTCATCACGCGTGCAATAAAATCCAGAACAACATTTCTGTGTCTTCATTTAATCGTTGAATCCACAACGTGGTCAAAGCCTCCAGATAAGCACACTCGGTAAAGCCGCAGCAATCATCTACAGTCTTAATCATCTCGCTGTCTTATTTTAGGCTTAGAAACGAGCAATAACCGATAGGTCAAAACGTTATTACCAGCTACTGACACCATAAGATGAAAGGTCAAGTGAGGCAAATCGTTTCTTTCAATTTAGATTCAGCTTGGCAAAGCAAAACCATATTTTCTGCGTTGTGGTTTTCAGTTGATCGATGGACATCGTAATCAATAAAGTGCTGTTGACCCGGACGCTTAGGTCAGAAGGTCTTGATACAAGTACTTAGATGAGTGCATGACTTTCTTAAGCTGTTATTGACCTTTATTTTCAAAACGTCCGAGAGCTCTCAAAGCATCGATCAGAACCTGTGCAGAGGAAAAACGATCCAGGCGCAGGTGCAACATTTTTTCAAGGAGATCACCGGGTTCACGGTGAGTGACATCACACGTGAACGCCACACTGTTCAGATTGAACGCTTCAGGCTCCAGCTGCCACTTCAGTTGACTGGATCATTTTTACAATGAAATCTGAAATGGAGTCTGGCTTTGTGAAGCTAATTTGCTGTTAGCTAAGCGGCTCTCCAAAAGTCTTAAAGTCAGACTTTTTCTAATGCAGTCTGGCTCCATCAGGGAAATTTGCCAGCTGCCACTTTCACACAGCAGCTACTTTGAGCTGATTCAGACGGAGAAACAGAAGGTACGATCAAAAAGACTTTGCCTGTGAAAAACAAAAAAGATTTTCTTACATGTGGGAGTTTTCGTGTGAGTTTACGTCAAAGATAAAAGCTGGTTCTCCATCTACAACCCAAAGAGTTCAGTATCCAGGGCTGAAAGTGGCTCAACCAGAAGCCTCTTATACTCTCCAGGGTCAGATGCAAAATTCTGCTATGACTTCCTGAGCTGTTTCCTGAAGCTTCTCAGTCACCTCAACACGATTCACACTCACTGCTTGTCCTGTGAGAGATTTGGCTCCTTGCAATGTTAAAATTAAATTCAAGGCAAAGGTTTGCAAATGCACGTGCAGGCCTTCCACGGAGCTGCTTGCTGGTTGTAGGCACGGTCACCAATATTCTTATGGCCACCAACTCAAAACTAGCCTTATCAGGCTTTCTGATATTGAGCTGCTCCATTTCTCGTAGATGTCTTGATGAATTTTTAAAGGTTTATGCAAACACTGCTCAATAAAAGCTGCGTGAAAGGCACTGAGTTTGTCGTGAACCTTGGTGATTCTGTTCTCCCGAAACAGGTCAAACTGAGGTGTGAGGTCAGCCCTTATGAGATGTGTTCAAACAGTTAAAGATGACCAAATGAGAGAAAGCAAGGAGAAACAGAAAAGGCACCGTGAGAACCGGGAAGGTTTCTAATGATGACGGGATGCAGCTTTAGTAGCGAGTTCTCAGAAGGTTACAACTTTATCATCTGCATAGAGCAACATCCTAATTCTTTATTTTATTATTATTCTACACTCCTCTAATTAGCAAACTCTGCTTAATAAGCATTATACCAGGGGAAGAATGAGTTCTAACCTTTAAGATGATCACAGACATAATTGAATTTGTGCTGGAAACTGACAAAAATGACTTCCTGTATGCCTGCAGATTTAGTTTCAGAAAATCAGAAAGACTTTAACCCCCGAAAGGAAAGAACAAAAACAAAGAGGAGCTTGGCGACGGCACAGATGTGTTTGATTTCTTTTGTCGTATTTTAGAAGGTTGTATATAGGAGGTCTATTCTGACCTGTATCAATAGCTTCTGCTTCATCCCAGCCTCTCTCTCTGTCTGTCCAAATGTCCCTCCTCCCCTCCGATGAAGCAGTTGTAATGTCATTATATGTCAATGGACCAGAAACCCTTGCCAGCCTGTAATCCTTAGTAACCTGCACGAGATCATAGACAGTCAAGTGTAAATCAAAAAATGAAAAGGATAGATGAGAGAAGGAGAGGAGATAGATAACAGGGGTGTCCACATTGACATATAATTTGCAATAAGACGTGACACAGTGATAGAACCAGGGGTTATGGACGGGGATGTCGGAGACAGATCTTATTGCTAAAGGGTGACACACCCGGCGTGCACACTGCCTGCTCACACTTTAGTTTATGGATCCACATCGAGGCCTTCCTGCCCGTTTGTCCCCTGTCACATGACTGAAGCCTGTCTGGGGGTGTTCGCACAGTGAGGTGAGGTCGGCCCTGCGTAGTGCTGGGAGGTGTATGTTGTTGATGTCTGGAGGTAGGACATGGAAAGGCAGGTCTGAGGTCAGTTTCGTGTTCGAGCGGTGTCTTTGGTAGCGCCCGTGTCCCCGTTTCAAACAATATACAGACCACACAATAACCACTGTGACACACAGCACACACGTCAGTATCAGTGTAGCCCCAACATCCATTCTCCTCCTGTATTTCTGTCCCACCATCATGTTTGACATTGAATACTTGGTGGTTCTCAACCAATAACAAACGTCATGTATGACTGGTAGGAGGAGTCAAAGGCTGAATGGAGCTAACTCGGGTTTAGCATCGCAGCTTCTGTCATCGTACGTTTTGTGGCGTCAGAAGCGACCACATCGTAGTGTGGAGCGCCAAGTTATCAGCTGATCATTAATCCTTTGTCCCGCCTTCCTCCCCTCACTCCTAACCTGTCGCAGCAGATGGCCCCGCCCCTCCCTGAGCCTGGTTCTGCCGGAGGTTTCTTCCTGTTAAAAGGGAGTTTTTCCTTCCCACTGTCACCAAAGTGCTGCTCATAGGGGGTCATATGATTGTTGGGTTTTTCTCTGTATTATTGGAGGGTCTTTACTTGTTGTGATTATAAATAAAGATGTGAGTAACTCTGGTCACTCAAAGCTTATTCAAATGATGCATGTGACATAATTTCAGTTTCACAGAGGATTGTGGGTTTTTTTGGTAATTTGAACTCACTGTGGAACTGCCACAAGCTGCAGTTCCTCTCTTGTCCACTTGGGGCTGTCCCCATCAGTGAGTCTTACCGCATAGACTCCAATGTTGACTGGCAGGTGGATGGTGACGCAGGCGGCTGCAGCTGCTAGCTGTCTGCTATTCTCCACCTCAACCAACTGAAGTCCCTGAACTGGACCTGTGGACCGTGTTTGTGCTGCTGGAACATTTTTAATGACATTATCTGACCAACTATACGGCTGTTGGGACGTTGTTGTACTAACAGACCTTTCTAGAAGTCTGAGCTCCAGTTTTGGTGCACGGGGAGACTCTAGGATGTTTATTAGGAGATGTCTGGGTGGTTGAGACTTTACAGGGAGCTTTGTGCTGCAGGTCAGTGCTTTCTGATGGGCTGCTTGTTGAGTTGTGATGGGGCGTCCAAATTCATCTGTAGTTGCCCGCTGCCCTGTGTTGGTATTGTGTTATGTGAGGCCAGCTGATCTCTGTTCAAAGCTTTTATCCTCTCACGCTGACACAGAAGCAGACGGCTGCCTCGCTCTGTTCTCTGCAGGCTGATGTCTGAAGCATCACTCTGCACAGAAACCATCCGACTGAAGGTGTTTCCGGTGTCAAAATGTCCCATTTAAACTTTCACTCATGTCCATATTTCATGCTGAGTGATGTCACAGCTCTGGTGTGAGGAGATTGGCTGCCACTAACGATTATGCATGAAACCTGATTATTAATGACTTAGTTTGCGATTGGATATTTATTTTAATACTGATGGAAAGTACTGATCTTTGCTACTGAGTTTCCTGCACGCTTGCTTCTGTGGCTGCAGACAGAGTGAAAGGTTACGTTGATGAGCTCCCTGCATAAATCTTTTGTGGCCCTTTCAGGGAAAAAAGCTCTAAAAAGCCACTTTGCACAGCAGACAGTTGGAGCCCAGCGAGGTGAGCAAAGTGGAACATTTAGCAGCTAAAGAGCTGCACGTTCACGACTCCGATGGGACGAAACTCGATGAGCTGATGCTGAATTTGTTTTGGAGTCAGATTTTGTTATTGAAGCTTTATGGCCTGTTGCAGATGTGCAGCAGCAGCAGCCACTGAAACTGTCAGATTCTCATCTGCAGAGCCAAAGTTCCCACATTCACACTTTGAAATGGCGTAGAATTACACGGAGCACTTGTACGTCAGAGCCTATTGTTTGGCACAGGGACAGCGTCACTCTGAGAGGTTAACACAGAGTTGTGTTTTTTAATGACGTCGTGTTAAATCGGAACAATACGATCCTGCTGTGACGGGAGAAGTTCCGGATAATTATCCACTAAAGACGTTTCAATTACGGGATGTTTCCAGCTTTCGAGGAGGCGGCCGTTCATTAATATGGATCGGGGGTGCGTTCATCTTTCACGAACCGCAGGTGTAACTATTAGCTCGGCTGTAAGAGCAGCGTGTGTTTCATTCATAAAAGAGCGCGGTGGTCGCTGAGTTCTCAGTGATTCTTATTCAGCAGGCACTTGGTGAGGCTCCAGTTTCCAACAGCAACAGTGCACGGTTGTTGAAACGCAGGTCGAGCTGCGTTTAATGTGACAAACAACTTTTTCTTTCCACGCTAAAAACTCCGTAAGTGTCCTTCTCTGCCTCAGCAAGCTCCCACCCTCTCCTGCTAATTATAATCTCTTTTAACAACCCCTGGGTGCAGAAAATTACCAAAGCCTTACCACACAAAATGAGTTTATAGCAATAATTCAATACCGAGCCCTTGAATGCTACAGAGCCGCCGCTGCGGGAATTAATCATTAAAGTCTGCGGGTGCTTCCACGCTGGGAGTTGATCCCTGGCTGGCTGAGCTAATTCGGCACGTTTGCTCGTAAGGCCTCGTCGTTTTATGAGCATATTAGTAAAGGTAATGGTGAGGTGGAGTGTGCCCTGGTAGTTGGGGACAGGGTGGGTGGGGAGCGATGCACGGGTAAAATAAAAACATGAAGGGGGTGTAGTAATAATAAGAAGGAGAAGAGACCAAATTTGATTTCAGTCAGCGGCACAGAGCACATCTACCTACTCTGCCCTGCCTCCCGCCCTCTGTCCCCCAGCTCTCCGACACTAGACTGACTCCTAAACCTCTCTCCTCTACAGCTGGGTGTACTGGAGCTCCACTAAGTCGGGGCTCGCGTCTGCGGCTGGATCCTTAAAGTAGAGTGTGGCAGTGTCTTCCCCCCGCTGGCCCGTCCGCCGGGCCCTGTGCTCGGTCACCTCTTTGGGCTGCTCCTGGCGGCAGTGGTTGCTGTTCCACCAAGCCTCCAGCCCAGCCACCAGGCAGGCCAGCAGCAGGCCCGCGGCCAAGATGCAGAAGATGCCGGCGAAGCTGTGCAGCTTGAGGGAGCGGCCATCGGGGTGGGCGCTGGCGTGGCTGCTGAGGTCGCAGCGGCCGGCGCGGGGCCACCACTTCTGCTTCATGATGTCCAGGTCGCCTTTCTCCTGCAGCTCCAAGATCCTGGAAGAAGAGACGAGAGCGGCAGGTGAGATGCAGAGAACATCAATTAATCCTTCTTACCCGAAGGCAACAAGAACAGTCTGCGACCCTCGGGCGGGACGTCGCGCTCGCTGCTATGTCACACAGTCTTACTGCGGCGTCTCCTCTGCACACGCAGCAGAGTCGCAGTCGCTCTGCAGCACCTAATAAATCCCAGCCTACCGTGAGAACGCACCTCAACGTCTTGCTTTGTCCAGCTCAGATAAATACAAGCGATTCTCCAGCTTTTATTTACATGAAGTGTGAGATGTGCCGAAGCACGGCCGACCAAAGGTGTCCGCTTAACACCGATTTCCTGCTTTCCAAAGACAAATACATCCAAACACACGTTTGTGGATGAAAATGTGTTTCTTTTTGTCTTTGCTGGCAAACAAACTACAAAGAAATAAAAGCTGGTGTTGACATTTCCAACCCGTTCAAGCTTCCTTCATGCTGTTAGATCTCCCGCTGCTGATGCACGGCGTCTGAAAACAG